TCTAGATACTCATTATTTGCTATTGTATAAATAACAAACCGGATCATAGAAATAGACTTCACCTTCGTAGATGATTTCCAAGCTTGTCTTTGATCTTCAGCAATAATTTCTGTTCTTGTTCCACCGTACCCCAACTTCGGTCTAAGGCCTCCATGTAACAATCTCGTGCCGCCAGAAATTCCTATTGCGTATCCAGCCGGGGTTGTTTTTGGATTGGATAACGAATTGCCCATAGATTGACCTTTTGTAGACGATAAATTTAATAATTCAGGCTTTAATTTTTTACTTATGTATAATGGAATCAAACTGTGTATCATGTCTCTTACTTCATTGCTATTAGCTATAAAGTTTTCTATAGTTTTCGAGTTTAGTTCAGATGTCCAAGGAAGCTTTGGATGCATATGATATGATAGCGACGCCAAAAGATTCAAAATTAGGGATTGATCTTTTACAGATGCATCTTTAGTACTCACCTTATATATTAGGGCACATAACAACCTTAACCTATAATAAAAGTAATTCTCTGGTTTGTGGCTATTAGCTGAAACTAGCCAGTTCCAGACCTGGTCAGGTACATCTAAAGATGAACTTACCATGGAACATAGTTCAACGAAATCTTGTTGCTTCTCCATTTCCATCGGTTCTTTGAAGATTACCGCCTCCAAAACAAAGAACGCCGTATTTTTCATAGATTGTTTCTTATGTAAAATCTGATCCAGTAGCATTTTTGAGGTTAGGTTATATGGCTTGATTATGTTCGTATAAATCAAATCCATCTGGATCAGGGATAGTCTATTTTCCCCTATAGATCCTTCATCTAATACACCCAGCAAGTCATCTAATTTATCTAACCATGAATCAGACATAGTTCATTTCAAATTTATTGTATTAAGGAGGTGTATTCAAAATTGTGTATACTACAGAATTTTTCTATTGACTCGTATTTTTACTCCATCAATTTATTCACATTTCATTTCAGATAGTGATCCATGAAATCATGGTAGTATCGTTTATTAATATGAAGCAACATAAGCATTACTTATCAAGATGCCACTTCGCCATAACTACAAAGTTGAGAAGAAATTTTGCTTCAATTCCTTTAGTAATCTCGGAAGAAATACAACAAGCTTTGAATGATAAACAAAAGCCAATTGTCTCCTTAGAATCAACAATTATCACTCATGGATTGCCTTATCCTGATAACTTATCTATGGCAACTGAAGCGGAGAGAATAATTAGGGCCAATGGTGCAGTTCCAGCTACTTGTGCTTTTATAGAGGGAATGCCGTATGTTGGATTAACATCACACCAACTTGAATATTTATCGGAACAAGCATCAAAGAAGGAAATAAACAAAGTTTCTCGTCGTGATATTGGATACACTATGGCCAATAAGGTAAACGGTGGTACCACCATTGCACTGACAATGATTTTATCTCATTTAGCAGGAATCAAAGTATTTGCTACCGGTGGATTAGGGGGGGTTCATAAAGACGGGCATTTAACAATGGATGTTTCTGCTGATTTAACTGAATTAGGCAGAACTCCAGTATCTGTCGTATGCGCTGGACCAAAATCAATTTTGGATATTGGTTTAACTATGGAGTATTTGGAAACACAAGGTGTCTTCGTAGGTACGTATAATGATAATAATAGAACCAAGGTTGAAATCCCTGGTTTTTACTGTCGTGATTCAGGAATTCAATCGCCATATTCATTTAATTCATTTGTACAAGCTGCATCAGTAATTCATAATCAAAATAATGTAATGTCTTTGAAATCAGGGAATGTCTTTTGCATACCACCACCTGAGGATTCAGCCTTGCCTTCAGAATTTATTAATAATATAATTGAAAATGCTAATGAAGAAGCAAGAAAGAAACGTATAAGGGGAAAAAATTTAACTCCATTTTTATTAAGCAAAATTGCTAATGATACTAAGGGAAAATCAGTTGAATGCAACATTAATTTTGTCTACAATAACGCTGTATCTGCAACTAAAATTGCTAAAGAATTACTTTTATTGGAAAATAATAGTGAGCCTAATGTATGTTATTAAAGTTTGGTTTGTATTTTATTTTCATTTAAATCCTTATACTAATTGTTATTTAGAATTACAAGTTGAATTCCAAAACTAGAGAATATTTGTCAAAGCCAGGAAGTGGAACAGCTGAAACCTCGAAGCCTGTAAGTAAAAATAATGTTACTATTACCAATGTTGATGATCATGTAAATACAGTAATAATAGGATCCATTGCTCTTGATACAATCAGTCGACTTAACTCTCCTACTACTATGAATGATTCAAATCCAGGTCAAACAAGATCCTCGATGGGTGGTGTGGGATATAATGTCTCTTTAGCTTGTAAATATGGGTTAGAATCACCTTCTTGCTCATCAGGAAATATAGACCGGCCATCTTATAGGTTTATATCTGTCGTTGCCGACGATTTTGCCGGTCGATCTTTGCTCAAGCAATTAGATTCTAATAAGATCGATACTTCAGGAATACAAATCATCAAAGATAGCAAAATTTCAACTGCTCAATATTCTTCAATACATAATACCAATGGTGAACTACTTGTGGCATGTGCTGACATGGCTATAATTGAAGAAGAATTTTTTACTGAGCATACTGTGAATCAATTAGCTAGAGCAAAACCAGAATGCGTAGTTCTTGACTGCAATATATCTTCATCTGTAATGAATAATATATTACAGTATATTAGGAACAATCTAGAAGAAGCAAAAGTGATAATAGAGCCAACGTCATCTCCTAAAGCAGCAAGATTATCGCATGTAAACAGCAAGAATTTAAAGGTTTTTCCCAATAATATAATCCTGCTAGTCACACCGACTGTGGCAGAGTTGAATACATTCCATTCTTCATTTAGTAATCGTGAATTATTTGATGATTATGACGACTGGTTTCCATTATTGGATACGTTAGGAATTGATTCGTTGTTTAGAGAGAAGTTGAATAAACAAGCACAGCAGAATGATGTTTTGAGGGAAGGTTTAAATTATGGATTTTTGCAGCAATCATTTCAGTTATTACCCTATTTACCGAATATATTACTTAAATTGGGCCCAAGTGGATTACTATACATAGGTCTTTCAACAAGTATCGGTGATTATTCTTCGATCCCAACCACTTCCGATTTCTGCCCTGAGTTTACAATTACTAGTAATGGAAGGGAATTCATTGACAGTGACGGGAAAAACAAAAAAATGGGAATAGTTATACAATATTTCCCTATTCCGGAAGTAAATAAAATTTTGAAGGTTAAAAATGTTACTGGTGCTGGCGATTCGTTATTGGGGTATCTAATAGCTAGATTACTGCTTTCAAGTGAAAATAAGGTAGGCAAGGCATGGTTAGACCCAGAGATATATAGAATTGAGGATGAATGGTTTAAATGGGAATCTATCTACAAGGCCCAAATCTCAAGTGGTTTATCATTGGAAAGTAATGAAGCTATCAGTCCAGAAATAGCTAAAATCAAATAGGTTACACAAAATTGTACGAATAAAATCAATTAGAAACAGTAAAATACTTTATATATTATTAGATTAATTGACGACAAAATATGTTTAAATTAGGTTTGATACATAATACTAGGTTCAATTTTATTAAGGTTTCGACAAAGAGGCTTTTTTCTTCTAGGGTAGGACCAATTCGTTCTCCTAGAATTAAATCATTAACTTTAGGTGTATGTGGGTTTTCTGCGATCACTGGTTTGGCTTTATATAATCATAAACTTATTGAATTGGACAATAAGAAACAAGATATTTCGCTTAATCATTCCATAGCCGTTGATTCATCGATTTCGCCGTTTCCAACTGCTTTAATTAGTGCCAACCAAACTAATCTTAATACGGATTTTCAATTGCTTGGATATGGTGTTAGGTCCGTTACGTTTGTTAACTTCAAAGTATATGGAATTGGGCTTTACATAGCTAATGACGATGTCAGTAAAACTAAAAAGATTTTGAGTCCAGATTATTTATCAACCTTTGGTACTGAAAACCATTCATTAAGAGAATTGTTATCTGACCCTGAGTTTTCTGCCCAGCTTATCTCAAAACTATTAAACGAAAATGTGAGGTTTGCAGTTAGGATTTCGCCTGTTAGAAATACAGATTTCAATCATTTGAAGGACGGTTTAATCAAGTCAATCTTGGCTCATCCAGAAAGTAAAGAAAATAAGGAAATTGTGAGTAATGGATTGGAAGAATTAAGGAATGTGTTCAGCGGATATAGAGGGTCGGTGCCAAAGAATCATGTGTTATGGCTAGAAATTTTAAAACAAGGAAGCTTAAGTATTTCATATGAAAATCCGGTTAAGAACGAATTAATTAGTATGGGACAGGTCAAAGAACCAATCATTAGTAAGCTCTTATTTTTACAATACCTCAGTGGTAAGAAGCCATTATCGGAACCATTAAGAAAAAGCTGTAACGATGGATTTATTGGTTTGTAAGCCATTCACATTTTAGAAGTTATCGCTTACAAATTATGGTGTGTAAAATGTATATATTTCTTAAAGCAAATGTTTCTTCGTAACTAATTCGTGTTTGAATGCACTTTTATTTTCAAAGAAAACTACATATCTAATTAAAGTGTCATAATTTAGTGAAAATTGAAAAATTCAGAAACCTGGAAATATAGCTTTCTTAGAACTATTATATTATCTGTACTAATTTTTCACTTTATAACAAAGACCTCTGTAATTAAAATCATTATTATTCGGGCCTATGCGATTCAACTTCCATTAAGTCAATTCATCTTAAATCTTTATTATAAATGAGTATACATAAATTAAGAAATTCTCTCAAGCCGCGAAGAAAGCTTTGTATTATTTTTTCTGATTTGAACTGCTGGGGTAAATTAAAACCACTACCACAATCCTGTTTATGCAATTTGCTGGTGTAATTTTTAATAAAATTATATGATCAGCGTGGATAACTAGAAGCTTTAATATCTACCACGACGTGATATGGTGAGATCTAAGAATGGATGTATCTCTTGTCGTCGAAAAAAGAAAAAATGTGACGAAGCTCAACCTATTTGTACCCTCTGCTCCAACACTAATTCAATATGTGAATACTCAGTATCGCATGGGATGTTTCTCCAGAAAAATAATAAAGGAATACCCGATTATCAGGGAACAAAGCGTGTGAAAGTTCGGAATAAAGAACCTGAAGATAGCTTTGAAGATACAAGTAGTGAAGAACATTCGTTGAATGATGCTTATCAACCTCATAAAAGTATGCATCTTAGATCAATTACGATGGAAAAGTCTAATTTACCTTCATATCCACTTGGTTCTTTATCGCCAGAGTTGGTCAAAGACGGGCACGGGTTAGACATGAATGATTTGGTGGAAGCGGCATCTAAGGACGTCGATGATCCAATGCTTATTCAAACCGACAAAAAATCACCTGAATATCAAGAGTTGTATGATACTTTCAGAGATTTCATGTTTCTTAATGCTGCTTCCCAAGGTCCACAATCACCTGTTCAAATGCCATTAGGGTTGAAAGATGTGGATATAGTCAACCACTTCAAAAGTTTTTTGGATTATAACACGGAAGTTCTGCTCAACGAAATGCAAGAAAAATTACCACAAGTCGTGAGTGGAAATAGCCTATTAGGTTTTGCCTCTTTACTGCCAAAGATTGCGGATTCTATTACAGAAATAACTTCTTTGAAAGACACATCTAGTACCAGGGAATTTTCTTCAACCAAGCCACAGAATACAAACGAACAGATTAGAGATGAGCAACCAGATCCTGTCATTGATGAAATAAAATTGAACCATAGGGACTTTGAACTATTTACCAATTTTGTAGAAGAAATAGCTGGTTGGTTAGACATGTTTGATCACAAAAAACATTTCACTACAATTTTTGTGACCTTGTCAAAAAAAAGTTTGCCGTTATATTACTCTATTTTAGCTATTTCTTCCCGACATTTGGACGAAACCAAAAAGTTGCAAAAAAAAAATGACCGCCTAACATATCACTTATATCAACGTTCATTATATTATTTAGTTCCGATGGTGCAAGGCAACTCGAACATTGAAGTTGTTGCATCATGTATTATACTTTGTGTTTTTGAAATGATGAATCCTTCACCGCTGAATTGGAGAAAACATCTTAAAGGTGGTGCTACATTGTTGATGGCAGCGAATATTCACGGTTTCAGTGATTCAATGGAGAAGTCTTTGTTTTGGTGCTTTCTGAGAATGGATATTTGTAATGCGCTAATAAATGATGAACCAACCCTAATTCCATTACGCAAATGGGGCGATTTCGATGATGATGATGATTTGATTATCGCCGCTAGATATAAGGAAAAATTTTTGTCATTTTCTTCCCAGAATTCGGATATGTATAGCAATTATATTGTTTTTCTTGCGGCAAGGACAGTCAATTTGATTTCCGATGGTGATAAATTTCTGTCGAAAACAATTAACTCAGTAGATTTTGAAACATCGTTTAATGTCTTATATCAAGAACTATTGGAATGGTATATTAATCGTCCTGTTACTATGAAGCCTATAATATGTCATTCTGATGATGAAGAATTTCCGAGGCTATTGTTTAGCAACGGTCCTGGAATCTCAGGGAATCAAATGTACCACATGGTAATGATTTTAATGAATTCAAATAAACCAAGAGCTTCGAAGAAATGTAAGGCTGGTGGAATAGATAATGTATATAAAAACCATTTAAGTAATGCATGGCATGCGAAGAGAATTGTGGGGATATCGTTGGTGAATAAAAATGATCATGGCTGTTTGTCTAATGCGTTGCAACCAGTTTACTTTGCTGGGAAAGTTTTAACTAGTAAAAGGGAACATAAAATTATTTTGGATTTGTTGAGAAATATCGAAGATATTACAGGGTTGAGTTGCGAATGGCGTATAAAAGACTTAGAAACAATATGGAAGGATTATTTTTAAAATGGAATATGTTATACCAAATTTCTATCCCCAGTTCATGCTCAAAATAGATCTTCATTTAAATCCCTTGTCAATTATCGATTACAGTTTGATATGTGCAAGCTGACCTTATGATTTATCTACGTCGCAATTAGTCTGATTAGTGTGATTAGTCTAATTTAACCATTTATATTGGATTTAATGACACAGTAATCATTAAGTAAAATGTATTTGAATTTGATTCTTAATTTATATTTTACAATTTCATCGTCGACAATTATATATAGCGTACTCAATCAAGAATAAGTTAATGATGATTTTTCGTAATATTCAATTCTTGATATTCAAACTTCATAAGATCATCCTTTTGCAAATCACCTAAGTATTTTCGAATTTGGCTGGCGATATAAGCGCCATTAAAGCCGAAATGTTCATACGCATTTTTACCTGGTAATGATATTCCAAATTCGTTTAGGTGGAAACCAGCATTAGCATACCTTTCCCATCCATTGGAGGCATAGGCCTCAATGGCAACGGTCACAATTCGGGGATCCAAGACAGATCTCTTATACTCTGTGGATTGACATTCGAAAAGTCGCTGGCATGGAAATGAAATAATTTTAACATTAATGCTTGACTCAATCAATATTTCGGCAGCCTCAATAGCAAATTGACTTTCTGCACCAACGGATATAATTTGTAACTTTTGGCTGTCTGATGAATCAAATTCCTTCAATATATATGCACCAAATTTCACTTTGCTACGGTCCGTGATACCAGGGTACTGCTTGAGATCCTGTCTGGACAAGGATATAATTGTCGGTTTATTAGTGGTTTCAATAGCAAGTTCCCACGCGCCTGCAACTTCTTCGTTGTCCGCTGGTCTCACATACAAACAGTTCGGTAATGATCTGTAGAATGATGCTAATGCAATAGGCTGATGTGTAGGACCATCTTCACCTGTTCCAATTGAGTCATGGGTTGCTACATGAATAACCTGTAAATTCTGTAATGCACCCATTCTTACGGCTGGTGCAGAATAAAGATAAAACATGAAAAACGAAGATGTAATTGGAATAAAGGCGCCTTTGGAATAAGCTGAGATACCATTAGAAATGGCACACATGGCATGTTCCCGGATACCATAGTGTAAGTATCTTCCGCTGTAATCGCCATTGGTACCACAATCAGTTTTGATTTCGGGATTTTGAAAATCTTTTTTATGTGGCCATAACAAGTTCACTGATGGGGATAAGTCCGCTGTACCGACGAGGAATTGTGGATATTTGGCAGCAATTGGAGTAAACACTATTCCTGATGCCTTTCTAGAAGCAGTCGCATCTGTTGGAAGTGATTTCGGTAAAGATTCTTTCCAATCGCTAGGCAACTTTCCATTAATTCTGGATACAACCTCTTTGTATAATTGAGGATATTTCTTGCTATATGCCTCCAACTTATTTTCCCATTGTTCTTGATGAAGGGCACCTTTCGAAATGGCTCCTTCATTTCCTTGTCTAAAAAAATCATAGACTTCTTTTGGAACTTCAATAAATTGGTCAGGATCAAATCCATAGCGGGACTTAAGCCTTCTCCCTTCTTCTGCACCATACGCGGCACCATGTGCTTTGGCATTATTGGCAACATTTGTATCTACACCGATGATTGTTCTTATATTAATCAAGACAGGCAGACCATTTACTGACTTTGCCCGCTCAATTGCAGCCAATATAGATCCAAGATCAAAACTTCCGTCGTCAACAGTTAAAACATGCCATTTTTGGGCCTTAAACTTAGCATTGACATCTTCAGAGTTAGTTAAATCAACGGAACCATCACAAGTGATTTGATTGTTATCGTAAATCACAATCAAATTATCTAAACCCAAATGACCAGCAAGCGAAATGGCTTCTAACCCGACACCTTCTTGAATACAAGCATCACCAACCATACAATAAATTTTGTTATCAATCAAATCCAAATCAGGTTTGTTATAATTTGCAGCTAAGTTCTTCGAGGCAATAGCCAAACCAACTGCATTGGCAATACCTTGACCTAATGGACCCGTGGTAACCTCTATACCTTCAAACTCAATTTCCGGATGTCCAGCGCATTGAGACACTTCTGGGGCGTGGTACTTCTTCAACTGATCCATGGTGAATGATTCATATCCAACAAGATGCAAGAAAACGTACTGGAAAAGACAAGTATGTCCATTAGATAAAACAAACCTATCTCTATTAAACCAATTAGCATTTTTTGGGTTATACTTTAAGATATATTTCCAAAGTACTATACCAATGGCAGCCATTCCCATTGCCCCCCCTGGATGACCGCCATTATATTGTTGTACTAGGTCACTAACTAAACATCTAATAGTTTTTAACGATAAATCTTGAATTTGATTCATTCTTCTGTTCAAAGTATATTCTACTTAATATTCTATCTCAGTCATAATATTCTATCTTAGTCAAATACATCATACCTACTTATATATGTTATTTTTCATCCTCTACATATGTGCCTAGTCTTCGCAAGATTAGATCTGGTGTCGCCAATTATATCAAATCCGGAAATAATAGCCGCATAGTATTATTCCTTAATTGGAACAAAATTGTGGTATGGTGGCGCTCGATATTTCTATCTTGAGTAAACATTTGCGCTGCCGCTAAAATATGTGACTGAGTCAACAGTCAATAATTACAATTTACTTTCACTTCGACGAATAAAATACGGATAATCCAAACAAATAGAACCAATGGTTAAAACTTTGGGGAAATTTTATTTGAACTCATCGACCGCCGTATTTTACAATACGCATGTCTGTGACATACATTGTAGAAACAAATGGAGCATGCAAGTATTAATCTTGACAATAACTATATAATTCTTCAGCCAATATACCCAGATTAGTCTACATCACAATATTGTTATATTCTACGAGTTAATCAAAACAATTTGAAATATAGATTATGCAGAGCTGAAAGAAAGACAGAGTCGCGGCATGTATTACCAATTTCGGTTTTTCTAACCGCACCTCGCTGGGTGCGAAAAACAAGATATATATATGCCCCGAACGCCATTCAAACTTGGAAGCGTTGTATATCATATTAATTCATTAACTTATTTCTTGATAATTAACGAAACTAATCATGACTGTCAAAGCATTTGATAATAACGTATCAGATACTCACTACTTGTTGGATACTCCAAGGTCTTTACCCTCGCGAGATCCACAATTGAATAATCATGTCATTGATCTTTTCAGTTTGAAAGGAAAAGTTGCGGTTGTCACTGGTGGTGGACAAGGTATCGGCTATGCTATTTGTGAAGCGTATGCACAAGCTGGAGCAGAAGTTGCTATATGGGATATTAATGAGACGTATACAGTTGCGCATAAGTTAGAAAAACTTTATGGAGTTAAGGTGCGTTCATATGTATGCGACGTCACTGATTCAAAGAGGGTTGAACAAACTGTTAACGACATTGTTGACGATTTCGGTGATATTGACATTTTTGTCGCTAATGCTGGTATAAACATTCCGGTAGGTACCATAATTAATGAAGAAAATTCTAATGATAAAAACTGGCTTAAGGTCATGGATATAAACTTGAATGGTGTATACTATTGTGCCAAGAATGTTGGTAAGGTTTTCTCTAGAAAACCCGAGGGTCGAAAAGGATCAATGATTATTACCGGTTCTATGTCGGGGCATATCGTAAATACTCCGGTTCATCAAGCCGCATACAATGCATCGAAGGCATCCGTTATTCATTTTGCTAAATCATTGGCTATTGAATTTGTTGAGTTCGCTAGAGTCAACAGTATCAGTCCTGGCTATGTTAACTCAGGTATCAATGACCACTTACCAAGCAACACAAGGAAACGTTGGTGGTCGACTATCCCGATGGGAAGAGAAGGCTTACCACGAGAGTTGGTTGGTGCATATTTGTACTTAGCATCTGATGCAAGTACCTATACCACTGCTGCTGATATTATTGTAGACGGAGGCTGGTGTGCTGTCTAAATAATTAATACATAAATCATAGGTAAAATGTTCGAATGTTATTTTTCTATTTGCACTTATAGTAACATTGTATTAATAATATGTCATATAGCTAATTAAATACAATTCAAATTGTACTTATGGATGATTAGTTTTTTGTTCTCTGATTGAAAGGTTCATTTTACATATAGCTTCGATTACTACGTTGATGACATTAATATGGCTATAAGCAGTTGTTACTTCACGCTATATAAATCATTCTTTTAATTCTACTAAAACTTTTCCTTCGTAGAGGTCTGAACCTTTAAAGTCCAATTTTTTATAGTTTTTGGAAAGTGAGATAACGTCCCAAGGAGTCTTGGGGTTGGAATGTTCAAAAATTATGTCTATGTCTTCGAGTGACCTACCAGAGGTTTCAGGATAAAAAACATAAACAGCAGGAACCATAGCGAAATTAACGCCCGCGAATATAGCATAAGTATATGCACCAATATGTGCGAAGCATATAGGTGTAATCATAACGATTAAGAACGTAAATGCCCAGTTGCAAGCCGTAGACAACCCATTCACTGCAGCTCTTATTTCCAACGGAGAAATTTCAGCAGGGTAAAGCCACAGAACACCCAACCATCCGACTGCGAAAAAACTGTTAAAGACGAAGAGGAATACTGCAGCTGAGATTGCAGACTTCGTATCCCCGTTATCGGCTGCCCATCCTGATCCACACAAAATAGCCATTGTAGCACTTTGTCCTGCAGCACAAATTAACATCAAATTTCTTCTCCCTACCCTTTCAATAAGAAAGTATGAAAGACAAGCAGCAAGGAAATATTCCGTACCGTTACAAGCAGCTAAAATTCTTGCAGGAATAGGATCCATATTTAAATAATCCTCATAAATAGTACCCGCATAATAAGTAATTAGATTTATTCCGCAAATTTGTTGCATAATTTGACAAAATGCAGCTAACATTGTTCTGTGAAAATGCTTGTTTGGTCCAAATGAAATTAAACGTTTCAAACTAAATTCTGTATCTTCTTTCATAGAAAGATCTTTGATTTCTTTAATTTTTGCTAACACGGAAATGTCATTGGTTTCAACTTCAGCTAACACCGCAAATACTTCCTTTGCTTCCTCAATTCTATTCTTTTTTACTAACCAACGGGGTGACTCTGGCATTAAGAAGATAACGGACATCATGAACAAAGCAAATACAATCTGGAAGGCAATTGGAAATCTCCAACTGGCACTACCCTTAACAAAATAGAAGCCGAAATCGACCCAGTAAGATAATGCAACACCAAATATATTTAAAGCTGCACTAATCATGTTAAGAGCACCACGTCTTTCTGGTTTTGCACATTCAGACAACCACATTGGAATTGTGGCGGTCAGGAAACCATTCCCGATACCTGTTACAATTCTTCCAACAATTAAATGAGGTAGTCCAAATGCCGAGCATTGCAACACTGCTCCGACTGTCATTGTTGCAGCACCAATCCAAATCATCTTCCTTCTACCAAAATTATCTCCATAAAACATCGCAAAAAGTGCACCACTCATACACCCTATTTCATATATAGCCACCACCAACCCTTGTAATGTGGAGTTTGACTTATTTTCAAAAACATTGATTTCCGGAAACGTTTCCAAAAATGATGGTAGCGTTAGTAACGAGCTCATAACACCTTGATCATAGCCAAATAGCATAAATGCAATACTCGCAACGAATGCGACCATCTTATATAATGCCTCCCCACGTAAACCAACGAATGTTGTTCGTGACTGGTTTAAGCTTTCTGAGCTACTCGTTAAGTTTAACGTGGGATTTTCTAAATTTTCAGTTTTCTCAATGCTAGCTAGCATGTTTTGTTTGTGTTAGTTAGTTATGTCATCTCTTAAGTTTATGGAAATCAACTCTAATATATAGTAGAAGTTAAGACGCGCTATTCTTGACCTATTTTGTAGCTGATCAATTATTTTCATATACCCTTTAATTATTATTTTTTTTGTCCGTAATTTGAGCGCGCTAATTATTACTCAAACTAAATTTTTGGCATATACATCTGTAAATGGTAATGCTCCCGCACTATTATTAGTGTGATTGTTAAATTGGCCGCTTCAGATTTTAATTCTACAATCATCTGATTATTTAAGACAAGACAACATGTTGGAATTATTGATTTTTTGTAAGCAATGTTACAGAAAGTTTAAGTTCTAAATAAATGTCGTTAGCTAAACATTGGGGATACTCAAAGAATTTGATTTTGGAAAATTTAAAGGGTTTGGGCTGCTGCAAACCCCAAAATTTCTCTTATACCAGCAGAAAAAATAGTCGTGTACAATGATTCCTTACAATCCCAAGGTAATAAGAATATTAATCACATCATGGTTATTTCTGGAGGAGGTGCAGGCCATGAACCGTTATATGCTGGATTTGTTGGAATTAATGCATTAGATGCTGCTGTATCTGGTTCAATATTTGCCTCCCCTTCACCCAAACAGAGTTTTGCAGCCATTAAGTCAATTAGCTCCAAAGAAAACAATTCTAAAGGTACTTTGGTAATTGTCAAAAATTATACATGAGATGTTCTACATTTTGGACTTGCTGTCGAAAGAGCAAAAGCGCACGGCTACAAAATAGACATGATAATTGTTGGTGATGACGTAGCTGTAGGTAGTTCAAAGGGTGGAATGGTTGGACCTTGGCAGCTACTGCATTGGTTTACAAAATTGTTGGATCTGCTGCTTCTGAAATTGAAGATCTAAGCAAGCTAAAAGTATTGGGTGATGCCGTTGCGAATAATGCAGTGACCATTGGTGCCACCTTAGATCATTGCTCTGTTCTGGACGTGGTATTGCAAACTTCGAGCCTATTGGTCACAATGATGCAGAAATAGTTCTAGGAATTCATAACGAAACCTCGATTAAGAAGGTAAACCTATACCAAGGATAGACTCCTTAGTTAAGGACTTATTAGAATTCCTATTAAACGAAAATGACATAGATCCTTACTTTGTACCATTTGATGTCAGTAATTATGAAACGGTCTTGCTAGTCAACAACCTTGGGGGCACATCTACTTTAGAAATTATGCTATTACAAACTGCGTTATCGAAACATTATATCAACAATTTGAGACCAAAAAAAGTGGGAGAATTTGTCACGTCTTTAAATGCCCCTGGTTTTTCCACTACCTTACTCAACGTCTCTTGTGCATCTAAACAATCGCAAATTTCCCTTTCAGAAATAATGAGTTACTTGGATTTACAGATGCCCCTGGTTGGAAGGTGCATCCGTGGGAGTTTGAAGGAGACATCAATATTGAGTCAACAATCAATGCTGTCGGTTCTTTTGCCAAGTCACACTTAATGCTTTCCACGGAACAACGTATGTACTTTATAAGCAGCCTAGTTAATGGATTGCAAAAACTATTAAACAAAGAACCAATCATCACACTTTACGATACTGTTGCTGGTGATGGTGATTGTGGTGAAACCTTAGTGTCTGGTGCAAATGGAATATTGGAATCAATAAGGAACAATGAAATCTGCTTTGAAGATCCATTTTATTCCATATCTCAAATAGCAAACATTGTAGAGGATAAAATGGGCGGAAACTCAGGTGGCTTATATTCAATTTTTCTTAATTTCATTGATAAAGAACCTTCGAGATTGTACTACATTGAACTTGTGCGAAATTTTTGCTAGTTGCTTGCATAATGCGCTATATCAGGGCTTATATAAATACACTAGAGCAAGAGTGGGTGGAAGAACTTTGATTGATGCTTTAGAACCGCTTGTCAATACCTTCAGCAACACTCTAAATTTCTCAAAGGCTGCCCAGGCTGCTATCGACGGATCTGAATCCACTAGGAAATTAGCTGCAAAATTCGGGAGAGCGTCTTATGTCAGTGAACAAGAATTTAAACAGTTTGACGAAGAAGGAGGCTTACCCGATCCGGGAGCTATTGGATTAGCCACCTTAATTGCTGGATTTGCTGGTATTGACTATAAGTAATAGATAAATGGAGTTTAGGTCTGAAAGATTTTATATTATATTATTTTAATTTTAATTTTAATCGCATGCATCGATGGAAATTAACAATTTGTAAATCTATTTGTATCAGCTAATTATACCAAAACAACCAATAAGACAAGAATAGCGAATCGAATAACTGCGGCAAAGTCTGCATTAAGAGTAAAAAACACAGCGTCAGAGACATTTATATAATGAATGGGAATGAGTAAAACCAATGACGGCACTTGCATGTACTACTCTTAACATCAAAATGGATATTTATTTTGTTGAGTTTTATCTCGATATTGTCAATTGTTCATTCGCAAGTGATCGATCAATTTTGCATCAATTATATATGGATTAACGGTAACCCAGGCCTCTGTAGTACCTTCTTTAACAAAATTCATCGATGATGGCAACTAAATTATCTATCAATTACATGCACAGTTTTACATTTTCTTCAGATTTTTTCTTCAGTCGTAACTTGTTGAATGCCCCAATCCCTAGTGCTAACTATTTTATAACTATTTCGTTTAGATAAGTAGAGAGCAATTTTCTAAATCATATCCTTCAGTTAGTTTAGTATTATACCATTGGCTTTATCAGGTTTTGTTATTGGTTCCAGCTCCATACGATGTCCATGTATTTCATTCAACTCCTTACACCATTGACGCTAGTTAATGCAATCCAGACTAATATTGATACCGATTTTCAATCACTAGGATATGGTGTGTGATCTGTTACGTTTGTTAATTTCAAAGTATACCGAACTGATCTTTATGTATCCAAATATAATGTGAATAAAACAAAGAAGACTTTAACTCCATCAATCTCAGAAAATCATTCATTACATGTATTGTTTAAATATCCCCTGAATTCTCGTCCAGACTTTCCAGACTATTGAGCGGAAATATATGATTTGCGTTTCGGATCTTGAAGGATGGTTAGTTAAGTCGATTTTAACACACCCAGAAAGTAAAGAAAACAGGGACGTTGAGTAATGAATTAGGAAAACCAAGAAATGTATTTAACGGATACAGGGGCCCAGTTCCTAAGAATGTGGTTAGAAGTGCTACAACAAGTCAAGATTAAAATTTCATAAAAAACTCAGCAGAGAACAAATTGACTAGCATAAGCGAGGTAAATGAATCAATAATTAGTAAACTTTTATTCTTACAATACCTCAGTGGTAAGAAACCATCAGAACCATTGAGAAAGACTTGTACAGATGGATTTACTGATTCTATGTATCATGTTATTGCCTTAGAGAATTATTGTATAGGCCTATCGTAGAATATAATTAGAAGTATTACACAATATGAAATTAATTAACTATAGAAGATCCAAAATAATGGTATGTCTCAAGAAAAACTACACATTTAATTGATTATGACTATTATTTATTATTGCACCATTTCATGATATTCCAATATCATGCATGTAATTCAAGTATTTTAATTTTATATATGAAACAAATAAAATAAGAAAAAAGTTGTAGATGTGATTATAACGTGCCCGTATTGTTGTATATATGTTAGAGGAAAGAGAATGTTTGTTTACATAATAATAGCTTCATGTTCAACGTTAGAGGAGATAGATTTATGTGGTAAGACCTTTGCACCGTTAACATAGACTTCATTCTTAATTTCAACATCATCACCTAAAACAGTAATACCATCAGTTCTTGCCCACTTACCAATTCTGGAGTTCCATCCAACAATGGTTGATTTAACCCAGGCATGGTCCTTAACTTCAGAGTTAGATAATAAGACAGATCTTTGGATTCTGGCACCTTCACCAACAACAACATTTGGACCAATGACAACGTTAGGACCGATCAAAGCAGATGGATGGATCTTTGCAGATGGATCGACTAACACGTTACCACCGTGAATGAATTTTTCGTTACATAACTTTTTTGGTTCTTTCTTGGATAAGGAAGTTAAGTACAAAACAGTACCGCTCAAGAAATCCTTTGGTTGACCAACATCCATCCAGTATCCTTCCAAGTCAAAGGAGTATAATTCCTTGTTTTCAACCAAGATAGGGAAAGTTTCCTTTTCAATAGAAGTAGGCTTCATTTCAATCAAATCAATGACAGATGGGTTCAAGATATATAAACCAGCATTGATTCTGTTACCAACAAACTCAACTGGCTTTTCGACGAAACGGTCGATTAAGTTTGGAGTATCTCTATCATGGACGATAACACCATACTTGGATGGTTCGTCGACCTTTGTTGCGACAATAGTAGCTTTACCACCGCTAGTCTTGTGGAAGTCTGCTAATTCTTGGAATGGGTAGTCACAGATGACGTCCGAGTTCAAAACAAAGATAGGAGTGTCGTCCTTCTTTAAAACCTTTTCAGCCAACTTTAATGGACCTGCAGTACCCAATGGTTCTTCTTCAACGGAGAAAGTGATGGAAACACCGTATTCAGCTTCGTATTTCTTTAAGGTAGAAACCATAACTTCTGGTCTATAGTTAACAGCCAAAACAATATCAGTAACACCGGCCTTAGCTAATGCTTCGATTTGATGCAAAATCATTGGTCTGTTACCAAATTCAACCAATGGCTTTGGTAAAGTCAAAGTCAAAGGTCTCAAACGGGTACCGTAACCACCGACTAAAATTAATCCCTTCATATTTGCTTAATGTAGTAATATACTTAAAATATCAATATTTATATATCGTTTATATATATAAATAAAATCAAAGATTAAGTTTTTTGAAATCACGAAAAAGGGGAATGCTGGTATATTTATAGCTGTACTACATGGTGTGTTGTCGAAACAGAAAAATTATTAATTGCGTGTCTTGCAAAATTCAAAATAAAAATGGACGTGGCTGTAAACAAACGTGTAGCCCAAACACACGACATGCTTGAAGGTTGCATACCATGTCTACACGGGGACTTCGATGTTGTTAGTGACACTCTCGGTGTATGCTACATTGGTTCGTCATTAGGCTTCTGTGGTGATGGATATACCTTATTGATGATAGTGGGTAGTGAGAAAAGGCTACCGTGTCATTTTTAGTATCGACTTCAGGTACATTAATTTGGCTACCGAGCCAGGAGAACGAGCTTGCCGTGCGAACACAAAAAGTAGAAGCTCGAAATTGGCCAGCCATTACACCAGCACTAGATCGTACGCTAAAACGATATATACAAAACGTACGCAAAAAATACAATATATATATATGTATGTTCTATGCGTCAAATAGTTAATACCTTATTGTTAAATTTACAAAATAATTAATGCATCGACTAAACGGTCCAGCCAACCAGTCAAAGGATCTGGTTGTTATAATACTTATATCTAGGTATGGTTATGTACATGTCAGGAGAGCAGAGGTGGCCGCCAGCAGGCGGGACCGGCGTGTCTGTCGACGGACTATTGTGGCAGGTAATAGTATCGAATGTACGCGAAAGATTTTCCGATTGTTCGAGAGGGCCATAAACCCGGAATGTGTGTATCTATTCAATCGACAGCTTAGACTATACGAGGTAAATGTAGATAGCTACAAGATAGATACAAGATATACACAAGATAAATACAAGACATTGACTAGTTTATTTTTATGAATGTTTTATGTACTATTATGCAAGCTGCTAAAAAACCCTAAATCCGCGTTTTGCCCATATGCCTTTCCAGATGATTATTATCAAGATCAAGCTCACCGATAACCCAACAGCGGTGAGGCTGAAATAATGCTGCAAACAGGTTGAGTAGTCAGCACTGCATTTGGTATCAACCTCATTCCCGTAGAAAATCGAAAATCCAATTGACCCGATAGCAGGAGCTATCATGAAAGAGCCCCATGTAGACCCCATCATGTCGATCCCCCATATCGAAGCGACGATAGTAGGATATATGGTGAATAATCCGCCATACGACGAACCATTCAAGATAGATACTACCGAGAAACGAGTCAGCCTCGTTACCATGAACTGGCCAACTATTCCGACGACCAAATTGATTATCAACAAATTGACACGACATATTGGGAATTTTCTCTTACTAGAGGATAAGTAATCCGACAACCCTCCCATAGCCAATCTAGTGACTGTCGATGATGCAGCCATTATGCTGACTTGATCAGATAGGTTACTCTCAGAATTGCTATTTATAATGATCGAACCCAAATTATTCTGAAAACTTTCCATCGGACCAATATTCAATATTAAGGACGCCAATAGTAACCATGCAGATTTGTCCTTTAAAAAGTTAATAAACCGTTCTTGGTGCTTAAGTGGTTCAATTATTGACCGTTCAGGAATTAAGTTATCGTCATCTTCGCAGCTGTGGTGTGAATGCCTTGATCTAGATGTCACTAATGGCAGTTCTTCATCTGCTTCCTCCATCTCGTCTTCATTTGTAAATATAATCTCTGACTCCATGCTAACAACAGAGCTCGACACGAAATTCAATACTCCCATCACCAAATATAGAACGCCAAAGAAATTGAATACCTTGCGCAAGCTCAAAAGTCCACTATACTGTTTGAAATAAGAGAGTTTCATCAACTGCGATCCTAATAATGTCGATAATCCATAACATGTAACAGGTAATGATATAGCCAAACCTTTATGTTCGGGGTAAATCTTTGCGCAGGTCAACAAGCTCAGAAAGTACAATGAAGATGTAGCCAACCCTATGAAGAAAAAACAAATTCCAAATGCATATAAGTGGATCTTCATCACATTGTTATATTCGAGAGTTTTAACAATTTGAGCATTAACAAAATAACTGGGAACAAAGAACCAGATCAGAATTAGCGAAAGTAATGAGGGACCGTAGCAATCAGCCAAATAACCTAGCACAGGTAAACATAAATACATCCCAACAGCGGATAATGACGCAATGAAGTTAATATGTAGGTAACTTATGCCATATAATTCATGTAATGATGACGAAAATAGTGAAAATAGCATTATTGATCCGGATGAAAGACATGAGAATAACGATATAAAGAATGATATTTTTTTCAAGTTTGCAATTGAAACGTGGAATGATAGATAATGCTTGATAGAATGAGAAACCCTATTTATGAAAGTTTTATGTTTAAGCATCATCACGGCCCTTAATATCTTTATAGCACTTATAGTTTCTTTAGTATGCTCTATAATTTTCATTTAAATGTTAGTCAGGTGCAAATTTATATCACAAAATCACTGCAACAATTTGCAAGTATAGTTGAATTCGCTAGCTACGATGATGGTCATTTATAAGATTGTCTTTATTCTAGGTACTATATATTTAAACTTGAATGCAACGTAAATCATAACTTTATTAACCTTAGCTATACATTTGAATAAATTATTTGAGGTAAGTTAAGTATCTATCAACTTCACCCTTTGAACCTAACCAGATACCACTTTTGTCATGAATTCCTTTAGGCAAAATGTCTAAGATTCTTTCACCCTTATCGTTAATAGCTGCACCACCGGCTTGTTCCATCAACATAGCCATAGGGAAACATTCGTATAAAATTCTTAACTTACCATTTTTCAGCTTAGAATCAGCCGGATATGCGAAAATACCACCGTACAATATAGTTCTGTGAATATCAGCAACCATAGAACCAATGTATCTTGCACTATATGGCTTTCCATCGTCCTGTGGTTTCTTCAAGTCTGCAATATATTGTTTGGCACTGTCAGCCCAGTAATGAGAGTTACCTTCGTTGACAGAGTAAATAGCTCTGGTCTTAGGAATAGTCAAGTGTGGTTGAGTCAAAATGAATTCACCCAATTGTGTATCCAAAGTGAAGCCGTTGACACCTTGACCTGTGGTCAACATCAAGTGAGCAGAAGCACCGTACATGGTGTAACCAGCAGCGACCATTTCAGTACCCTTTCTCAACACATCCTTGATGGATCCCTGGGAATCTTCCTTCAATCTGTAGACACCGAAGATAGTACCAACAGAAACACCAGCATCAATATTAGACGAACCGTCAATTGGATCAGTACAAACAGCGTAACGTCCACCTCCTTCGAAAACAATCAAGTCTTCTTGTTCCTCTGAAACTAAAACCTTGACGTTGTTCGACGATTTCATGGCATTGATGAAAATTTCATCTCCAATAACATCCAATTTCTTTTGAACGTCACCAGTAGAGTTAGCACTGCCACTGATTCCAATCAAATTAACCAATTCGGCTCTTCTAATGTTGTGAGCAATGAATTTGAAAGCAAATTGTAACGAGTTTAGTAACAACGACAATTCCCCTGTAGCATTTGGCGCTTCTTTTTGCTGTTCTTGCAAAATAAATCTAGTCAACGTGATAATGTCGGTGTCGACATTCATCTGTTCGGAGACTGAATTATGTTGTGTGGACATGACTTGATTATATTATTATATTATAGAAGTATATTTTATAGTAAAGTTGATAAAAACAACAAAGAAAACTAAAAAAATAAGTCAATGGGAACAAGTAGCATTAAATATTCGATTCTGGATTGGTAACCCCGTACTTCTTGATAGCGTAAGCCCGGAGCAATAAGGGTCATTTCAAAATTACCGCACACTGTGAAAGTTGTCGAACTCCGGGCCTACTCACTAAGAAAATTGAAAATTGACATCCGACGCATTAGAGTATATACTATTTGTACGTTAATTCCGCTGATTAGGCTATACACCACGCAAAAAATATGGACTTGAATATCCGATGGTGATTATCATCGGTATACAATCCTGTAGATTTTCGAAATTTCAATATTGGTCCGGGTTGGTCTACTTCTTATGGGCCAGCTGATGCTGCTGTTGCTGATATATAGATCTGTTTAATTCGAACAATAGGTCTATATTACCATTCGTTTTGCCAGTGCTATCCCGTTGGTTCCGGATAACGTTCTTGGAATTGTATTTGGATTTCGAATTTGGACCGGCGGTATTTGCAGAAGAAGCTGCGATTTTGGTGGAGGAGGGTTTGGTCTTCCACTGTGATGACGATTCCAAAGACCGGTAGACCTTGGTGTTTTCGCCCTCCTTGTCGTCTTTTGCGTGCTGTAGATGTGTGTTATATGACGTACTCAAGTAGTGTAGTATTTCTTTGCCATTGAACGTATTCGGCTGTAATGAATCAACATTGACAGGATGAGGTGTTTTAGACTTGGTTGCTGCAGATGTCGATGGCAGTGTTGCCACTGGTTTGCTCGAAACGTTCGATACATTCGACACGTTCGAAGCAGATGCATTTGTTAGCTTTTCGGCCCACCCCCCTGACATGTTTAACCTGTTAATATTGCTCATAGAATGATTCCTATGACTATTCGTTAATGGATGGGGGTCTGAGAAACTGAAAAATTACTGTTACACAAAATCGAAGTATGTCTGAACACGTCAACACGAGTTTTCAACACTTGTTAGTTCAGTCTTGGTAGTTTTTCCTACGCTTTTTAATCCATAGTGTTTATATTTGTTTGTTATACTAAAATTAACTAATACTATGAGTGGGTTTCGTGTGTTAGATTTGGTTAAGCCATTTACACCATTTATGCCAGAGGTGATTGCACCTGAACGGAAAGTGGCATTCCAACAAAGACTTATGTGGACAGGTGTGACTTTATTGATTTTCCTTGTGATGAGTGAAATTCCATTATATGGGATCGCTTCCAGTGACGGTAGTGATCCGTTATACTGGTTGAGAATGATGTTGGCCTCCAACCGTGGTACATTGATGGAATTGGGTATATCACCAATTGTATCGGCCGGTATGGTTTTCCAGTTATTGCAGGGAACCAAATTGATTACTGTTGACATGAGTAATAAGAACGACAGAGACCAATTCCAGACTGCACAAAAGTTGTTTGCTATTTTGTTGGCTGTGGGCCAGGCTACTGTTTACGTATTGACTGGTATGTACGGACCACCATCATCTTTAGGTACTGGTGTTTGTTTATTATTGGTGTTACAATTGGTGTTTGCCGGTATCGTTGTCATCTTATTAGATGAACTTTTGCAAAAGGGCTACGGTCTTGGTAGTGGTATTTCTTTGTTCACTGCTACAAACGTTTGTGAACAAGTATTCTGGAAAGCATTTGCCCCAACTACCTCTAACATTGGTAAAGGTACCGAATTTGAAGGTGCAGTTGTGGCCTTATTCCACTTATTAGGTTCTCGTAAGGATAAAAAGAGAGCACTTCTCGAAGCTTTCTACAGATCCCACTTGCCAAACATGTTTCAATTGATTGCTACTATTTTCGTCTTCTTATTGGTCGTCTACTTGCAAGGTTTCAGAATCGAATTGCCAATTAAATCAACCAGACAAAGAGGTCCATATGGATTATACCCAATCAGGTTATTCTACACATCTAACATTCCAATTATGTTGCAGAGTGCTTTATCATCAAACATTTTCATCATTTCGCAAATGTTGTTTGTCAGATGGCCAAATAACATTTTTGTCAAGATCTTGGGAAGCTGGGATACCAGACAGGGTGCGGCACAATTGTATGCCGTCAGTGGTTTGGCATACTACATCCAACCTCCATTATCGTTCACCGAAGCATTATTAGATCCAATCAAGACTATCATTTACATAATATTTGTTTTGGGATCTTGTGCTGTATTCTCCACCACCTGGATTGAAATCAGTGGTGCATCTCCAAGAGACGTTGCTAAACAGTTCAAAGAACAAGGATTGGTTATCGCAGGTCACAGAGACACCTCTGCTTACAGGGAATTGAAGAAGGTCATTCCTACTGCTGCTGCTTTCGGTGGTGCCACTATCGGTGCTTTATCGGTATTCTGTGACTTGATGGGTACTTTAGGTTCTGGTACATCTATTTTATTATCCGTTACAACTATTTATGGTTACTACGAATTGGCCATGAAGGAAGGTGGTTTCGGTAAATCAGTTGTGAGCAGCTTCTCCGATGGTATTTAATCGCTGTAATAATACTTACGTCTAGATATTTATAACCCTAAATTGTCCCATCGCATATCGTAAATATTCGTATATACTATATATACCTCAGTTCTTGTATTATCACTATAACTCTACGCTATTCGATAAATGTCCAAATTCACTCTTGGGCACAATACAAAATATATGGCTCATATATACCATTTGCACCAACATCCTAGCTTCTGCTATATACTCTATCCGAATACGTACCTTAACGTCCGAAAAATCGCTTCAGCTGCAATGTTAGATACAAAACCGTCGCCAATTACCTTGATCTTTCGCGTCTGTATTCAACCTGATCTTACAATCTCCCGCCTTACTTTTACGCCCTTTGTTGTAAGATAGCATTATCTACTTCAACGAACCGGAACTCTCGAGACACGCTAATTTTTTTTTTTCGCGTTACCTTTATACACTCTTTTCTAGGGGATGAAATTGGTAACAATCAGACTAATTTTAATTCCGAGAAGGCACTAAATATCAATCAGTTCCGGCTGGTGCATTGTTGAAAACGGTCCCGCATATATCAATAATCGAGCATGCGCTACGTCCTATTCCGTACCGCAATCCTTCATAATCCGGTTATTGGGACTAATTTTTTATTTTTTTCATCATCTAAAAGCATTTTTGGTAAGAAGTATAATACGGATCTTTATTTCTCGGTGGAGTAGAAGAATAAAAGAAGTTTTCTTGTATCGTGTTCATTTTATAAACGATAAATTGTCTAGAATTTTTTCATAGTTGACAGAAATTATTTCAAAAGAAAATAGGTTCAACTATTGCCTGGTATTAATTAATTAATTCATTCGTGAAAGGCAAAATTGAAATAAATTTTTTAGTTTAATTTCACGGGTCAACTCCATTTTTTATAATATATTAGACATACACAGTATAGTAGTAATATCAGAAGTAACTACTGACGACTGTTCACTCGCTCAAACTCAAAGGGGTCATATTTATCAACGAAATCCAACTGAAATTCAGGAAACCGTCGAGTCCCAAAAATATAATAATAACAAAGTAACATTAATATAGACCAAAAAATGCCACAACCTATTTCAGGTAGTAATATTGGAATAGGAGCGAAGTCTCGGACCTTATTCAGGAAGGTAGGTAATGCGAAGACAATCAAGTTTATCATAGTGTTGATTGCTATCGTAAATATCCTTTACATCAGTACCTTATTGGTCGATGAAAGGACATCGTCCAATTTGACGTCGAAGATTAAAAACCATGCATCATACGTTTTAGACAATTTTTACGAGTCGGACGAGGAAGAAGTAGAAGTTCCTGATGGAACTGTATTCACAGATATACCTGAAGCAAACACCGTTTACTCTAACAACCAAAACGGTCAAGGAAGCGAGAGCATTCATAAATATGACAAGAAGTTGTACAATATACCAAATAGACCGTACGATCAGTTGTCAACCTCGGACAAGATTTTATTCAAGTTGAATGAAATTACACTGGATAGCGAGAAATACTGGTTGGGACATACTGAATTAACCGATTACGAATTAGAAATCCAGGTTGATGATTTTGTAAAGTCAGCCTGGAAAGAGAAACAAACGATTTTTTACGATCCAAGATTTACATTGGCTATTTACATTAACGAAATAAAGAACCAGTATTTGAAGAAGAATCCTGATAACGAAAAGCATAAAAGCCACGAAATTGTGGTTCCGTTTGCTTGGTCTGACTGGGTCGATTTGACGATGTTAAACGAAGAGCTTTCTAAACCAGAGTCCCAAAGAAAGAATTGTGAATATATGAAGGCAACCCATCATATTCCAGCTAAGGATGCGGACTATTGTATCAATAATGAAGCGATTACAAAGGCCGATTTGAAGGAAATGAATTTACCTTCAACTAAGTTTGTTCCTGGTTTCGCTGTTAAAAAATCGCCAACAAATAAGGCTTCAAATGAAGTTAGAATGTTAGAAGGTAAATCGCATTTATTGACTTATGCACCTAACCCATTAGCTATTATCTTCTTGACAAATGATGGTGTTTATGAAGCGCAAATCGAAGGTAAGCAAAGAATTGTTGATAGTAATCTTTTTGAAGACTTTTTAACTAGTACCAAAAATAAGGATCAGAAGCTTATTATGAATCCAGTTAAAGAATTTAATGATTTATTGGCAAGCGTAAAGCCAAACCCTTTGGATCCAGAGGATGATGAATTTGGTATGGTAGCTAAGATAAAAGATAAAAATCCCGAAAATTCTAAGGAAGTTTATTTACCTCAAAAGGCATTTAATTATCAACAAGACAAAATAGATATACAACTTGAAGAATATGAAACGAAAATGAAAACTTTACACGATTTGACAACTAATGAACTTATATTTGATCATCATACAATTAACAAATTGAAATTCACTAGAAATGAAAAAATATATTATGAAGGGTTAAAGTATGCAAACAAGTTTGAATTAGCTAAGGAACCTACTTACTTTAGAATGGCTAGACTAAATTTTCAAACAGAAGAGAATGATCACGATGCTGGATGGCATTATGAGTGGAGATTTTTTAATGGAGCATTGCGTTATTTGAAAAAAGGCTGGAACGAAGAAGAGTTATTAATTAGAGAAAAGGTTTTACTTGATCGTATATTAAGAAATTGGTTCAAATTTGCCAATGAAAAGGGTATTATCTCCTGGATTGCTCATGGCCCATTGTTATCATGGTATTGGGATGGCTTATTATTCCCATTTGACGAAGATATTGATATTCAAATGCCGGCCGAAGAATTAACGAGGTTTTCGAAGTTATACAACCAAACATTAGTTGTCGAAGATATTAGTGAAGGATTTGGTAAATATTTTATTGACTGTTCCACGTTTATTCACCACAGAGGTAAATCTTACAAGGAGAATCATATTGATGCCAGATTTATTGATGTTGATACTGGTTCTTATATTGATATTACTGGTTTAGGTATAAGCAAAGAAGAAGCTCCGGACAAATACAAAGATATAGTAAACCAAGCGGCCATTTTCAACCAGCCAAAACCCGTTTACAACTGCCGTAACTTGCATTTCTATTCTTATGATGAAATTTCACCATTAAGATACACTATGATTGGCGGTGTTCCATGTTACATTCCAAACAAAGTTGAGGATATTTTGAAGGATGAATACACTAAAGGTATGTCTGTCTATGATTTCGAAGGCTTTTATTTCATTGATCCGCTTAATTTGTGGATTCATCAACAGAAGCTTAAGTTTTTATTCGACCAATCACATCCACAACTTTTCAATGACAAAGAAGAAGTTACCAACCGTGAAGAATTTACCAACTTGGTGAAAGGCATGAATGAGGAACAAATATTATCTTTGTTGGAGCATAACGAAGATATTTTATTAGAGTACTACCTAACCAAGGATGTTACTGATTTGCATAAACAAGAATTAACATATATGTTCAATATGCCAGATGGCGAGAATACCAAGGTTGAGAACATTAACGGCCAAAAGCAGCAATCAGAAATAAGTGATAACGTGGAATATCATAAACTCACATCCAGATTTAAATTCCAAAAACCATTTAGACGTCCTTTATTTAATTACGAAAATATTGATAAACCAAAACATGCAAAGCCATCTACTGAGTAGGTTCTTACTATCTACAGATAATTTGCCACACCGCATCTTACGTACTTCATATTAATATCATTATTACTTTAATTATTAGCACCACCTGTATACGATAATATTTCATTAATACATAATTGATCTTATATTAGATCCGTACACGTCGAAAGGCGTCAATTACTATATACGCGTCCTTAGATATAAATAATGATACTCGTTTTAAGTGGTTACGCAGACGTATTTTTTTAGCAATTTGGACATCGCCGCTTTATGCATCTTCCAGATCTCACGCATTTCGTCAATTCACCTAAAATGATACTTTGTCGCCAACCGGAGGCCAAACTACCGCCACCCTATTCCCTTTTCTTATTATACCTCCCAACATGTATTGTATCAGTATTCTCCTCTGTTCACGACCAGGTTGCACTCTCTTCGTCATCCTATTCCTGTGAGCTACATGTAAATGCGCGAACTCTTGTTATCATTTTACATCCATACACCATTCCGTTTTTGGCAATAAGTTCTCCAAATTGCATGCCCCTATTGTTCTCAAGTCTTGGGGGTCACCCAGATAATGTTTAGGATAGCTTATACGATCTGTTTTCAACATTCAATAAGCAAGCCAGCCACCGAATACTTGACTTATCGGTATCATTTATTGACTTGCACCCTCTATAACTAACACACTTTCACAACAATCTCATCAATAAGGTATCATAGTTATGGTATGGAAGTTGTATCAGGTGACAATGTATTGTTTCTATGCATAAGTATACGCTAAAATAATTTGACCGGTCATTTCGACCAGCGCTACCGGAACTAAGAAGAGGTGGAATACGCATTTCTTTTTATTTTCTACAGCCACACGACCATATACAAAAGTCATCTTGGTCGTACGATCGATATCAGGACTAGAAATATTTTAGAATCAAAACTAAGGTTTAAGTGATAGCATCGATTGTGAACACGAGCTAGGATTGATCTTGATGAATAAATATTAGATAGGATGATCAATACTAAGTTTGTTAAAATCACCTTTTTGATAGTTTTATTTATAAACATCTTATTTTTCACGAAGTATTATTCAAAACAGGAAGCCAAATTGCATGAACAGGCTATCCAACATGTTGCATCCATTAATTACCACACAGACGATGAGGTGAAGGTCCCAGATGACAAGGTTTATAGTGAATTGGAAGCCAGGGAAAAGATTTCACATCTTTTGGAACAGGTGAAGAACGATAAGGAGAAGTATTGGTTGGCAAACACTGAGATCTCAGAACCAGACTTGACGATCAAGATGAAAGATTTTTTGACTCCAGATGAGGGCGAACTGAACTTCGCGAACATGCCAACTTTGTTCTATGACCCTAGGTTTACTCTTTCGGTATACTTGAACGAAATAAAGAATCAGTTACAGACAAAGAATCCGAAGAATGAAAAGTCCAAGGACCATTTGGTTACCATCCCATTCGCCTGGTCAGATTGGGTGGACTTGACTATGCTTAACGAAGAGTTGGAGAAGGAAGAAAGCGAAAGACTCGATTGTGGTTGGTTGCAGAGTGAAATCAACAAGCCTACTAAATACCCAAATTTCTGTAAAAATACCAGAGATTTGACCAGTGAAGAATTAAGGGAAATTGGCTTACCATCGAAGGCATTCTTACCAGGATTTGCAGTGAAGTCGTCGCCTATGAACAAAGCTCCCCCAAAGCAAGTAATGATGCAAGGTAAGGCCCATTTATTGGCTTATCAAGAAAACCCATTATCTATTATCTTCTTGACCAAGAATGGTACATATGAGGCCCAAGTTTCTGGAAAAAAGAGATTAGTGCATACCGAAATGTTTGAGCACTTTTTGGAAAGAAAGCACATCAATGCCAACCATATTGATGATATGGAAGACCAATCCATAACGCTTAATCCAATTGACGAATTCAGTGATTTGCAAAGTACTATTAAACCTAGACCTCTTGATATGAACGACGATATGTATAGGATGTTTTCCATTACTAGACAAAAGGATAAGAATGCTAGCCGTGAGATATATTTAGATACTGAAGCATTCAATTATAACCAAGAACAGGTTGATGCTCAAATCGAGGAGTACGAAAGTAGGTTGAATATTTTAGATGACTTAATGACAAACGAATTGCGTTATGACCCTCGTCAAATTGAATCAAACATATTGAATAGACATGAAATGAATCACTATGAAGGTTTAAAGTATTCAAACTCTATTTCTGCTCAAGAGGAGCCAACTTACTATAAATTAGCAACCTTGAAGAAAGATAAAGAAAATAGAGATGCAGGATGGCATTATGAATGGAGGTTTTTCAATGGTGCTTTGCGTTACTTGAAGGAAGGCTACACAATGAAGCAATTAGAAATTAGAGAACAAATCATTTTGGATAGATTATTGAGAAACTGGTTTAGATTTGCCGAAGAAAAGGGAATTATCTCATGGATAGCTCATGGTCCATTATTATCCTGGTATTGGGATGGTTTAATGTTCCCATTTGATATTGATATTGATATCCAAATGCCCTCAGCCGAATTGAATAGGTTGTCTCAAAACTATAACATGACTTTGGTTGTTGAAGATGTTTCTGAGGGCTATGGAAAATATCTTATTGACTGTGCTACGTTTTTGCACCATAGAGATAGGGCTGCCAAAGATAACGTTATCGATGCCAGATTTATTGATATCGATAGTGGTACTTATATTGATATCACTGGTCTTGGTAAGAATAATGAAAAACCCCCAGCAGAGTATGATACGTATATCAGAAACAGACAATCTAAGGGAGAAGAGGTCCAGTTATACATGGACCGTCGTAAGCATTGGTTGAATTTTGAGAAAATTAACCCGTTAAGATATTCCATGATCAGTGGTGTTCCAGCATATGTACCAAATGACATAATGGTAATGTTGAATTACGAATACGATAAGGGTACAACATCCTATCACTTTGGTGGTTATTATTATGTTCCCCAAGTTAGATTATGGTTGAAGGAAGAACAATTGACTTTCTTATTTGAAGAATCAGCGTATAAAGATGGTGACAAAATCAACCCGGATAAGTTAACTGGACTAATCAAGAAAATGAATATAGATCACAAGGTAAGATTGTTAGAATCAAGCGATGATATTTTGATAGAATATTACTTGACTCAAAAATACACTTCATATCATGAAATTGAGAAAAAGTTCATGTTAGATCCATCATTACAGCATTCCATCTTAGACTTGAAAGAAAAGACTGAATACCATCAATTGACTTCAAAGTTCCATATGGACAAACCATTAAGAAAGTCTTTGTTTGATTACGAATACCTCGAGCGTGTCAAGCATAACGAATAGAATCCTTACACATCCTCATACCTTTATTTCAACGCTTTTTAGCGTTAGACTTTTGAAGCATTCTTTTTTGATTGCATTATTCCTATTATTTTCTTAATCAGATACATCAGATACCTTCTCCCCTTAATTACAAGCATCAAGTTTATAATAATATATGTATTAATACGGTAAATACTATAATTCATTTTCGTGTATTTACAAATTTGAATTAAATTATTTGGCATGTTAACAGATAAAATACTATACTAAATAGACATCTATCAGCTAAGCATTGGTTAATATTTAGGATGATACGTGGGACCTCCTTATCTACATCAAATAGATCTATAAGAGCGTTTATTTTTAACGCTAGATTCAGCAGCAACTATGTTAAAGGACCCGTTAAGAAGATGCCATATAATACAGCTTTTCAGAAATCTTACTATTCAAACCCTGCTTCTAAGAATGGTACGACAAACAATTCTGCTACAATATCTAGTTCCAAACCTATTCTGAATAATGAATCTGAGCCATCATCCTCCAGTAATACGATTAAGTCGTTTAGTGATTCACCAGCTATCGCAAGCTCACCAGAAGCTGGTTCGCCTATCAATTGGTCAGATTCGTTTCATGGCCTAGGTACAGCACCCTTTCCAAAGGAAGTAAGTGACATACTCTTGGCATCTATAGATAATGATGATATCGAAATCAAACCGGATGGGCTTTTATACCTTCCAGAAATTAAATATCGTAGAATCTTGAATAGGGCATTCGGACCTGGAGGTTGGGGGTTAGCTCCACGTACCGAATCCTTGATTACTCCAAAACAAATATCTCGTGAATATGCGTTGATTTGTCACGGAAGGTTAGTAAGCGTTGCAAGAGGTGAACAAGATTATTTTGGTGGGGATGAAAAGATAACTACAGCATTGGAAGGTTGCAAGAGTAATGCGTTGATGAGATGTTGTAAAGATTTAGGGATTGCAAGTGAATTATGGGATCCCAGCTTTATTAGGAAGTGGAAAAAAGACTTTTGTGATGAAATATTTGCCGAGCATGTCACTACTAAGAAGAAGAAGAAACTATGGAAGTTAAAGAAGAATAAAACGTTAGACTACCCATACAAGAAAATATGATTTTCTGTAGACTAGAATACATTATAGTTTAGTTTTTACTTCATTGTAAATAGAGTTTAATATTCTTCGATAATGTGTATTAATATACTTATTTAGAGAACGAAAAAAAGTACGTATAGATTGTAATGTATAATTATAAATATAACTTACATCATATGATAATGTAACAGAATTATGCTTTAACAGGTTGATTATAGGCTGATAAATGATGAGAGATTTACGCCTTAAAAATACCACGACCGGAACCCATTTCTTCCACGGTTTGCGATAATGGTCTTCTTCTCCAGACATCCCAGAATTGTTGTTTTGGCAATTCTTCATCGGTATTAGCCATAACGTGCTTGGTGTCTCTACCCGCAAAACTAGCAGATTGTGACCAAGACCAGTGGTCAAGGACTGCGGCGATGGCAGCACCTGAAATACCCGTTAACACCTTGTGTTTGGCCGGCATGCTCTTGAAACCGGCAGTCAAACAAGCCAAGTTACCAAGACCAACTCCCCAGAATGTATTCCATCCGTCGTTCTTTTCTCTCAAGTTGGTGATCATACCCTTCGACGCAGTAGCGACTGTAGCAAACGTAACAACCGTCATTGGCAACCCGATCTTGAATGTAGTTCTTTTCCACAAGTATAACCATGCATAAGCACCGACCGTTGTGTAGAAAGTGAATCTAAAAACCTGGCTCGTTTCCTTCTTAGTATCGACTGGCTTCCATGGTGGATAAGCACTGGCATTTGTCAAGCTACCGAATGGTCTTGGCCATTTGAATCTGGAGTCAGGTACTATTCTTTGTTCAGCGTCACCTTGTTCTGACATTGTATACTCTATTTCACTGTATTTATTAAATAATTAACACTAGATGATGGCTTCAAATGTTGATATTATGTTGACCCAATCAAATTAACATAAAAAAATGGTCTTTCTTCATTTTCCACTCACGTGCATAAAAATGGGACATAATTAATTTTGTGTGTCTCTCGCATATAAAAATTTTCAGTTCATACGTTAACTATATGAGTAAACACGGGTCTAATTCCTTTTGTATTTGCCTAATAAGAGTAATAGATAGATAGAAATAATAACAATGAATAAAGCTTTAACATTCACAGCAGTAGCAGGTAGTGCATTGGTTGCATACGCTGTTTACTTCGATTACAAGCGTAGAAGCTCGCCAGACTTCAGAAAGAGCTTGAAGAAGAAGTCGGTCAAGCAACAAAAGCTCGCTGCTAAAGAACACGAAGACACCAAGAAATCCAAGTTAGACGCCATCAAGAAGGCTTTGACTGCTGATTTGGAAGCTAACCCAGTCCCAACGGATTTATCAGAAAAGGAAAACTTCTTCATGCAGCAGGTTGCTTTAGGGGAACAATTAGCTACTGTGCCAGATAAGAAGATCGAGGCAGCCCTCTGTTTCTATAAGGCGCTTGCCGTGTACCCTAATCCAACCGACATTTTGGGTATCTACCAAAGATCTGTTCCAGAGGAGGTGTACGAAATTGTTGTTATGATGATTGCTGTCCAACCACCAGCAGCTGTGACTAACATTTTGGGAGCTGGTGGCGCTGCCGGAGCTGGTGCTGGGGAACCAGAAATCAAGCCATCTGAAGAAGACTTGGACTAAGCCAAGAAGTCGTTGATTTCCTGATTGGCCGAAGGTATTCCTATTTTAATGAAAACTATGTAACTTACTCACGCCGTTTGGCATGTACTTATTTAATGATTGTTTGTGGTAGTGCTTCTTGAAAGCATATTGTACATATATTCTTCTTTACATTTGTCTTAATCTTTGCAGAATAAATAAATATGATCAAGTATTAAAGGAGTGTTCGTATTGACGAGATTGTACGACGATTCAGCGTCGTCCAATTGGATATGGACATACCTCAATATTACGATGTTCTTATACCGTAAGAAAATGTAGATGTGTGAGTATATCTAGTCGATGTAGAAGCATACTGCTCGCGATCTTGGCTGTGCCTACTTCATTTATTGTTTATCCTTAATTGTATCATCGTTACATCGCTAGTTTCAATAAATCGCCGAATCAAGGGTTTTACATTCGTTCTTTTTAACATGCAACTGATGCCATGTATCTATTTGTTGTTGCTAACATTTTGCTTTACACAATTGACTCTTGGATTGAATTCGACAAGTAAGTCTGGAAATAATTCCTCACTAATCCAATCTCAATATAACTCTAGAAACTTTCATTACAAAGGAGTAGCATTAGGAGGATGGTTGATCCTTGAGCCGTATATAACTCCTTCACTTTTCTTGGAATTTAATAAAACTAGTGGTAAGGATTCTGATATTCCAATAGATGAACACGCCTATTGCAAAAAGCTCGGTTATAAAGAGGCGAAAAATAGACTAACCAAGCACTGGGATACCTTTTACAATGAATCAGACTTTGCCCAAATCAAAGAATATGGCTTAAATATGGTTCGTATCCCAATTGGGTATTGGGCATTTGAAAAGCTTGAAAATGACTCGTATGTTCCTGGGGCACAGAAGTATTTAGATCAAGCCATAGAATGGGCACATAAATATGATTTAAAAGTATGGGTTGACCTCCATGGCTTACCTGGATCTCAAAATGGATTTGATAATTCTGGCCTTAGAAACCTAGATTACCCTGGATGGTTTAATAGAACTGAGCATGTTGATTTAAGTCATAGGGTATTAAATAAGATTTATTCAAAATATGGAGGATATAACATGTCAGCAGAATACAAGGATACAATTTTGGGTGTTGAAATTGTTAACGAACCTCTTGGTCCTAAATTATCTATGAAAAAAGTAAAGAAGTTTTACGAAAATAGCTATAGAAATGCAAGAAAAATACAAGCAGCAAATAATACAATTGTATTCCACGATGCTTTCCAACTGATGGGTTACTGGAATAAGTTTCTATCTTATTCGGGTAATAAGACTAATTCTACCATTAATAACTATAATATCCTCATAGACCATCATCATTACGAAGTCTTTTCGCCGGGTGCTTTAAATCTGACCATTGACGGACACCTCCTGAGTATCAAATCTCTTAGCTCTTCTATCAAAGATGAGAATAAACATCACCCTGCGGTTGTTGGTGAATGGCTGGCTGCTTTAACTGATTGCACCCCTTGGTTGAATGGTGTAGGTATAGGTACGAGATTTGAGGGCACGTCACCATATACAAATGATAAGATTGGAACCTGCGATGATATCAATACGTGGGATACGTGGTCAGAGGAACAAAAAAAGAATTATAGAAAGTTCGTTGAAATGCAACTCGATCAATATAGTTCCAAAATGAATGGTTGGATATTTTGGTGTTTCAAAACCGAAACATCAATAGAATGGGATTTTAAACGGTTGGTCTATTTCGATCTCATGCCTCAACCACTAGATGACAGAAAATATATAGTCAATGGTACCGATACAGATAATGAAGATGATGACAAGAAAAGTATGGCTTCGGCTACTCACCATCGAAACATGTGCGCTTTGCTTATTACATTTGGTCTTCAATTAGTCGATGTTCTACGTTATTAATATTAAAGTGAAGTCATGAGAATGCATTCTATGAAGGCTAAATGGGAGAATAGTCTGGCTACTACGGCTACAAGTAATGCGCAATAAATGGTCGCAACACTGCAGTACAAGACTGAACTAAATACATTATACAATAAAAACCATATAGATCAGCTTAGATTCAGTCGAACTTCAGTATATACCACAATATATAGGCAAACCAAGCTTTTCAATGTCTGCCTATTGATAGGATTTTTACATAAACCATATATGGAGCGAATCGTTCGATATCACGTGTTATTATCAACAAGTTCTGTAGACTTGAAAAAACCCTAGAGGTAGTTCTAGGAAAGAACAAAACCCAATTGTGATACTTACTTTAAACGAAATGGTCAAATCTGTCAATGTTGCTATTATTGGATCAGGTGTTGTTGGTTCAGCATTTGTTAATCAATTAAAAAACTTAAAAACAGCTATTAACTTCAATGTTGTCTACTTTGCTAGATCTTCTAAAGAAGCATTATTCTCTTCTGATTATACACCAGTTGACTTAGCTTCTTACAAGAGTGCTTCAGCACAGGCTGTTTTATCATTAGACGAGTTGGTGAAGTTTTTGAAAGGTGCTTCCAAACCAACTATCTTAATTGATAACACCTCAAATGGTACTATCGCTGATTACTACCCAACATTTGTGAAAGAAGGTATCTCAATCGCTACTCCAAACAAGAAGGCTTTTTCGTCTGATTTATCAGTTTGGAATGAAATCTTCAAGAACGCTGATGCTCCTTCCGGTGGTTTGGTTTATCATGAAGCTACCGTTGGTGCTGGATTGCCAATTATCGGTCCTTTGAGAGATTTGGTTACTACTGGCGATAAAGTTGAAAAAATCGAAGGTATCTTCTCTGGTACCTTATCATATATTTTCAACGAATTTTCTACCACTGATCCTTCTACTAAGGTAAAATTCTCGGATGTAGTCAAAGTTGCGAAGGATTTGGGTTACACTGAACCTGATCCAAGAGATGATTTGAACGGTTTAGATGTTGCTAGAAAGGTCACCATTTTAGCAAGAATATCCGGCTTTGATGTCGAATCTCCAACTTCTTTCCCTGTTGAGTCGCTTATTCCAAAGGAATTAGAAAGTGTTCAAAGTGCTGATGAATTTTTATCAAAATTGCCAGATTTTGATGTTGATATCCAAAAGGTTAAAGAAGAAGCTTTAGCTGAAAATAAAGTTTTAAGGTTCGTCGGTCAAGTTGATTTTAAGGCTAATAAAGTTTCTGTGGAAATTGGTAAATACGGGTTCGACCATCCATTTGCTTCCTTGAAGGGTAGTGATAACGTCGTATCAATTAAAACCGAAAGATATTCTAACCCATTAATTATCCAAGGCGCTGGTGCTGGTGCAGAAGTTACAGCACATGGTGTTTTGGCTGATGCGATCAAAATCGCTGAAAGAATAGCTATTTAAGTATATACATCATTATAACTATCAAAATATATTATAAAGCTATCTACATTATATAATCAGATATTTTAAAATATAATCAAATCAATTAATTGCTGGTAATACAACTTCCAGACATTTTTCCCTCCAATTTTCTTTCGCCTCTTTAAAAATACCACGAAGTATTTTCTCATTTGTACAAGCTGATCTAAATTTCAACATCACTTTTTGAGAATCTATTTGATAAGACTTGAGGTTATCTTGTTCTGGAATGGATGAAAGTGAGGTGTTTAGTCTTGTGATATGTATGTTGTTAGGAGCTAAGAACAAGTCACCATTATCTCGTAATTCAACTATGTAAGCACCTGTCTTGTGAATATACTGAGCATATTGGAAAATTGGTTTACCCCAGCTATAGGAGATTTCGATGTGGTCTTTCAGAAAGAAAACAGTTGATCTGTTGTCTAGTAAAAAGTCAGATTTTTTCATCAAGTATAAGTGATAATAGAATTTGTTATCCTTTAGAATGTTAAGATCCAGAAATTCAGGATCAGCCCACGGATTTATAACCAACTTCAAATCAACGAACGAATGGAACGGATTTACTTGAGGGATAGTACATAATTCAAGCCAAGGTGTTTCAACTAGCTTTAAACCATGCCTTTCACATAACCTTGACCAATTTAATATAGCATCGTCTATGAACTTCTTCGTAGTATTAAGCCACTGAAGCCGGATATGATAACAGTGTTCTGGATTGTGAACTCTATCATAATGTACCGTAACAATTTCGGGCCTAAACGACTTTTTCAAAGGATCAGCATTAAATTTAACTGATCTACTTAAGATAAATTTCTTTTTCTGTCTGGTTTTGGTTGAAGAACCAGCCATTGATGATGTCTCAGACTCATACATATGCTGGCCTATTGAATTTGAAGTGATTTTTCTCAAATCAAGGTTATCCTGGACTGGAAAAACTGGAGATTTTGCTGACTCGCTATCTGAATTATTCCTTGTATATGTAGGTGACGTAACTGTTGAGCCTTTTTCGCTTGAATTCTTCTTTCTATTAAACCATCCACTATTCGATCGTTCAGGTTTGTAGTTCTTGTCAATATATTCGCCCTCAAAAGTATAGAAATAATATCCATCCAAGAATCCATGCCTACTTTCAACATGTTTGATCATTCCTCTGTCCATTAATGACTGACCATAACTAGTAGCATCATTTCTATTATCTATATCTTCAAAGCATTCAATAAACCATGAGACAAGCTCGTTACCTAAAAAGCTGTGAAGATGTCTCTTAAAATGCCATGTTCTATCTACCAACCTTACACCAGTAGGACTTTGTAGCTCTTGCGCTAGTTGACTCAATTTTATGCTCTTTGTGAATCTCATATTTTCTCCCAACATTAAAGAATTACTTGGTTCATTACCGGTTGCATCGTAGGTTTCCGCTTGATCGCTCAAGAATTCGTATAAGTTACCTGTGTAAAAACTGATCTCAGGCAAAATTTCTTCCTTTCTTTTAGATTCTTTATCGCCTGATTTAACGAATTTTCCTCTTTCGATTAATGCAATCAACTTACGTAAACCTTCAACACGAATTTCTTCGTCTGTTAAATTCTCATTAGATATGAAATATGCGTTTTTAGGTATATTAGCTGGTAAAACAACGAATTTCATCTTGTGAAATTGCCTTTTTTCCGGTGGAATTGCATCGTCATAACCTGCTATTAACTGATCAAATTGGTTCCAATTATATTTAAGTGGTTTAGCATTAATAAAATCAAATTTAGCAGGAGCATATTCGTCAACATACCTTGTTCGAATTAAGGGAATATAGCTTTTCTGTTTATAATCCTGCGAACCTAATAATCTTGAATGCTTCAATTCTTCAACCTTTCTATACATTTGAACATATAGGTTTCCATTATAATCACAAGATATCCTGTGTATTTCGTCATCCAAGGACATATAGATTCGTGAACCATAACAACTACCTTTCGGAAAGTATTTAATTAAGCTTTCTGCATTTCCGCCGGGCTTTCTACTCGACTCAAATTTTTTAACTTGGTCACTATAGCAAATTTGAAATCCCAACAATAGACGTAATTGAATCATTTCCCTCATTAGGTCGTGAGTACTTTCGATTTCCAAATCATTCTCCGAATTTAAAAAGACACTATATATTTGAAAAGAATATTCTGTTTCTAATTGTTTTGTTGATGGAAAAATAGAAGTAGTAACTGGTAAAGCAGCAGGTGACTCAAATGATCTCCATTTAACTAGTCTTCTCTTTATGTTCGATGGAAATACGTCATTCCATCTACTTAAACGAAGGAAGGATAACATATCAGAATGCAGTTCTTTAGAAGGATTACGAATTTCAGTCCACAATAAGTTCGTCAACATTTCAAATTCTTCCTCTACGTTTGTTGAGCTTTGTTTATTCCTGGACTTGGAATCCAATATATCTCGCAGTTTTGATGCACTGCTGACACTGTCGTCGCTTTTGTAAAATTCTTCTGTCTTCTGTAACCTTGGCCGAAGCTTTTTTCTTGTTCTTTCATTGAATTCCTTTCTATCTTCACTAACACTTCCTTTTACGCCTTTAAATGAATCAGCTCTAATTGAGGGTGAATGTACCAGTGACTTATCTGCAGATGTCTTATTCAATGTGTACAACGAAGAAAGCGCTGATATTTCTTTTCCGCTATTTGTAACTGTACCAAGAACCGAAGAATTGGTTGTGGAAACGTCAATTCTCGCAGTTGACGAATTTGGTAGTAGAGAAGTTCTATTATTCCATATAAGCGATAATGGCTTGACAGTTTCTTTAGGCGTTCCTGCCTTACTATTTATAGTTGATTTCTCCAGTGAAGGCTCTGATAATTCTCGAGTTACTTTTGAATCCGAATCTTTATTTACAGGTTTGAAAACATCAGAATCATACTTGTCCATGGCTTCTATCATTGATTTCGCCTCATTGGGGACTCTATATCTCTCAATCTTAACATCATTAATCTCATTTTCCATAAGACCCATCATCTGTAATTCATAAATTTTACAATGCGGTATCCATTGCGTAGAATTGGCCGTACTATCTTTGTAAAAAGATATATCACACCAATGTGGGACACAATGGGATATTTGACCTTCTTTCGACGGATCTCTGTAACGAAATAGAGGCACAATATGTAAAGGTGGTTGACTCAAGCAAACTATATCCAATGCACAATCAATGCTCAACATTTTTTTACTAGTTTCGTGCATCAAGCTATAGTCAACATCAAATAGACCTGTTCCTGGGGTGACCAATATGAAATGGTTTAAAGAATGTTTTAAATCAGTATTTCTAAACCTATCATTCACCAAATGTATCCCAACATTAATAGCTTCTAGAATATTTCCCTTAACAGATGGTAATGACTGACCTGCCATTGTGAATTTTCCATTATTTTCAGGTTGGCAATTAAGCATAATATCTCTTTTAAAATTTGCAAATTCTAATCTCAAATTAGCCATAATTCTATCCCAATGAAAGATACTAACCTGATCGACAACAACCCTAAAATAGTCGCGTCTATTGTTTGGTCTCTCCCCTTGGCCTAACGAGGTCCATGGAATATTTGTTAAGTCAACACTTGTAAATAGAACAATAGTTATCGAATGGTGGGTATTTTTATCTCTCCATTTTTTGAAAATCTTAGGGAATAATGTGTTGACTAGTTTATGAAACATTATTTCACCTGTCTCTTCAAAGTGCCACATTTCTCGAGATAATTGGACTAGGAATACCAATTTGGCACTCTTCGATCGAAATACAACTTTTGTCTTCTCACAAATCAATGCTGAAAATAACTCTTTGCCATTCTTATAAATTTTTTTTACTACCCCTGTCCTATTACTAAGAAATGTAAGCCTTTTTTCAGAATAAACACAAGTTCCTACCAATGACGAAGAAAATGTCCACATCAAATCTCTTGAAAGATTTACGTCCTTAATAAATATTTCGATTGTATCTGCTTCAATAGATTCGACGTCTAATATTGTTTTCAATTGAACCAAACTTCTTGGTGGTAAATCCATTAAATTTTGTAAAGGATTTGAAATCAACGAAATTTGGAAATTTGTCTTTGTCTTCGTTGTACTGTTATTATTAGCTGATAGCGTTGAGGTTGTTGCACCAGCATTATTCGAAGTGTTGTTATTGAATGTATTTAAGCTTGAGCTTTTGGATAATAGCGACTGGTTTTTAATAATAAAGATTAATCGCTTGGGTCTCTTATGAGGTTTAAACGTATTTAAGGGTACCAATTCACAAATATCACCTTCTTTTAATCCAGGAATTACACTTGCATCAATTATAACATCCTCTGTAGAAGTTCTTGGTTCATGGAACCAGACGGTCAATTGAATCTGTTCGGAAAGCTTTTTTGAAGGTTCCACATTCGAATCGATATTAGGGTCTCTTAGTATGCTATCTTTTTTGAATCTGTTAGAATGACTAGGTGGCTTTGTATATTCAATTTGACCATCACTGAAATTACGCCTACCAACCACTATTGTATTTTCTGGTAAATTATTTCGTACACCATGAGAAGTAGAATGTGAATTCTTGCCTATAATTAAAGTAGTACCAACATGTGAGCCCATATGTGATGAAGATTTTGATGCTCCTATTACTCGCCTTTGGTTCGTTCTCAAAGGCTTGGTATTCGGCCTATCCGCTTCATCGTTCTGATCCATTGTTTTATTCGATGAAGAATTGAATATCCTAGCATCATGCATCTTTTAGTCACTCAAAAAATACGTGGTAGTATACTATGGTTTATCGTTATGATATCTTCATCAATCTTAATTTTCGCATTGTAACGAATTCTATACGCACCATTAATATATTACTAGTACCTAAAATATACATAATTATATAGTCTTCGTTATGAACTCGTCTATGAACCACTTATGAAATCTATAATCATCTGATAATTCAGGATGAAAAGAAGTTCCTAGTTTAGTACCTTGTCTTACGGCAACTACCAAACCATTATCCAATTGGTGCAAAATTTGCACTGGAGCCTTATTCTCATAGTCATTCTTCGAATGAATAATTTCATTATTAACATTTTCCGACCCGTTGATATCGGATAGCACACTGGTAATGACAGGAGCTCTAATAAATATCGTAGGAAAGTTACTTACTAGAGGGATGAAGGATGAAAAGTCCAAATCCGATTGGAACGACTGTAACTGTCTTCCAAATGCATTTCTCTTGACCTGGATATTCATGCCCCCCAACAATTGTTGACCTGGTTTTCCATTTTCAACTTGAGTCGATAAAAAAATCAATCCAGCACAAGTCCCCCAAATAGGTCTTTCCGATTTGACATAATGCATCAACGGCCCAAGCAAGTCAGTTCTTTGTGCAATTAATGATATAGCAGTGCTTTCTCCACCGGGTATAACAAGTCCGTGACATCTATCTAATTGCTCCTCAGTTCTAACTTCAATGAAGTCAAATTCGTAATCTGAATATCCATTCTTAGTAGCACCTTCAAAATGTTTGATATGCTCAATAAATGCGCCCTGTAATGCCAACACCCCAACCGTTACTTTCTTCGTAATGGTCATTCTATCGTTTTATTGACTTTTTATATTCAAGCTGATAAGCTACCTAAATATGAAAGTGCAACCTTTTATGAACCAATTTATTTGGTGCTCTCGGATAACCTTGAGAGATTTTTAACGGGTATATTACGGTGTTTTGATGATGCCTATGGCTATCGGTTATCGTTACCCTAAACGAGCAATTTTATATCAAAATGCCTCTGTGACTAAGTGCCAATGCTAAAATGGTCCCAATTACTGTATAAACTCTTAGAGGGACTGACTGAGAGTCAAATTCGTTACTGATTGACTCGGTTTTGCTCGGATTACTCTCGGTTATTCTACCGAGGTCATTAGTTACGGTCAATAATATGCAGTATAATTACAGCTATTTTCATTTACGCTGCCCTCGTTAGGGTGCCGGTATTCTACCGTAATACTCCCGAAAATTGCGCTAATCCCATTGATTCTGGGACATATGTAATTACACGATTGAGTCAGACAAGAAAAGACCATAAATAATAAGCCTAAACTCCAAATTTATTTGCAAAATTTTGAAGCTAAAAATCAATTGACAATTAATAGTTTAGAAAAACGTACTCAGATTTCGATTAGTATAAAATGACACAAGAATTCAAAGTTAAAGCTGGATTAGCACAAATGTTAAAGGGTGGTGTTATCATGGATGTTGTTACTCCAGAACAGGCCAAAATTGCTGAAAAAGCCGGTGCATGTGCGGTTATGGCCTTGGAAAGGATTCCAGCCGATATGAGAGCATCGGGACAAGTGTGTCGTATGTCAGATCCAAAGATGATCAAGGAGATCATGGCAACAGTTTCAATTCCGGTTATGGCAAAATGTAGAATTGGGCACTTTGTTGAAGCTCAGGTTTTGGAAGCATTGGAAATTGATTACATTGACGAGTCCGAAGTGTTGACTCCAGCAGACAAATTGTATCATATCAAAAAGAATCAATTCAAAGTTCCATTTGTATGTGGCGCAAGAAACTTAGGCGAAGCCTTGAGAAGAGTCAGTGAAGGTGCAGCCATGTTGAGAACCAAAGGAGAAGCTGGTACAGGAGATATCTCAGAAGCTGTGAGCCATATCAACTTGATCAAACAACAAATCGATCATGCTTTATCGTTGAAATCTGAAGCCGAGGTCGCCGCATACGCGGAGGAATTGAGAGTTCCTCTTGTAACATTGCAAGAATTGATCGCCAACAAAGGAAAGTTCCCAGTTGTCAATTTTGCTGCCGGTGGTGTCGCCACTCCTGCTGATGCTGCTTTATGTATGCAATTGGGATGTGACGGTGTATTTGTCGGTTCAGGTATCTTCAAATCCAAGAACCCCGAACTTTTAGCCAAAGCTATTGTGAATGCGGTCACCCATTACGACGATCCAAAGAAAGTTATGGAATACTCTACCGACTTAGGTGAATTGATGTTTGGTGTCAGTGTTGACTCTTTAAAATCCAGTGAGAAGGTATCTACAAGAGGATGGTAGATCGTTGATGACCGCAGAATTTCCACATATAGGCCAATGTTACAGCTCATGATTAAGTATTTATTCAATAACAATGTCGCATTAATAAATAAATGTCTAGTCTATTTGATGAATATCGACGATAACTTCTTGTAAATATCATCCTTATTCTGATCGATGTTAATAATCTCCTTCACAAACCTATGTAAGTCTCTAGGCACATTGTTCGCTATCCCCAAATCGTCCGAACAAACGAGCAATGTGTCTGGCTTTAAGTTCTTCAAAACATTGAAATATCCGTCGATATTACTACAATGGAGCAATTTGTAATTATTCAACAAGGTCTTGGGTAAATTGTATCTCTCAACCTCGTCTGCATTACCAATGTTGCAAACTAAGTCGTCCATCGACAAGTTCGGTGGTAATATGAATGTAACATTCTCCGAATTGAGCAAAATCTCGTTCAAGGGCAATTGCGAACTAAGCACCGAGTGTGATAACGTCAACGCAATCGACTTCTTCGTGTACTTTTTGGCAATTCTCAACTTCTCCTCGACCTGTCCGTCCTCTTCTGTTTTTTTATCTTCAATATTCTCCTCTCCAATGTAGCTGGAATACACCTTGTACGATATTGTCACTATGGAAGCTGCTACCAATGCAGCAATCCATAATTTAGGATTTCGTTGTGTCTTTCGAATCTGTGCTTGCGGCATATTTTTATATAAATGAATTCTACTTTGGTTAATACTCGATCACTCAATGATCTGTTAATATGAGTCTAATATTGCCCCTTAATCTGTTATCTACTGCTTGAAGGCCCATTTATATATTTATATTTAAGGTATCGCGGTGGGGTTATTCACAAAATGTTGAATCAGCCAATTTCGGGACAAAAGTCACGATACATCCTCTCTCCCGGAAATGGACATTCGGAAGAGACCCTCGTATATAATTTCTGAGAGTCCCAACATAATCTGGTCCCAGGGAACTATGTCACACGTAAAGAACATGGTATCCAGCAAGTCATTTAATAGATAATCTATTGTGAAGTAACATATAGATATAGTAGAATTATACACATTAATTATAGACGCTCATATTATCATGGGTCGACAATATTCAGTAAACAAAAGTTCATCTCTTCTTCGTCCAAGGACTTAATGTAGAGACATTTGGACAACAAGTCCTTTTGTATAGAAAGATCGTAATGGGAGGACCATTCGATGCATTGAGATAATGACTTAACGATGTGGACCGAAGTTCTGAAACGAGAGAAATTGATCATTTTTGCTGCAATATTTTGAGTATTCAATGTAGAGTCCCCACCGGTGGTATCATTGTTTTTCGCAGCATGAGGGATTTGAGTCTTGATGAACGCAGGTCTCTCAGCATTGAAGATAAGGTCGGATAGGTACAATCCAACAAACGGAATGCAACCGTTGGATGGTTTTATGCGGTTTATACACAACCGGATGTTTACGAAATTTTTCAAGGGCGAGGAGAGCTCTTCCAAGTTTTTCAAGATCAAGATGTCCCCCGGAGGCAAGTTCTTCCAGGTTTCTTTCAATTTCAGAACCTTTTCAGAAGTCAATCCGAGGATGATTTGCATCAATGTTGAAAAGTTTTGCAATACGTAGCAGTTATGCGCTATGTGGATCAACCGGGAGATGATGCTGATTCTTTCGAGTTGCGTTTTTGACATCAAAATTTCAGATATAATCCAGTTAACCATTAAGTTAAATCTTGCAATAACTAAATTGACCCCTCTGTTTTTGTGAAAGTAGTTATCATTCACGATGATCTCAAGCCAACTGTTTACGGGGACTAGTTCTTTGTTCCATTTAAGTTCGATTAGCTCCTTCCAATCTATCTCCTGTAAAATATCTTTTTCAATTATGGTGAAGTGATCCGCTAACGACTTCGAGTCATAGCTCAAGAGAAACGAAATATGTGAGTCCGCCTCCATTACTTTCTCTATCGACAAAATATCCGTAGAAATATAATATCCATTCAAAATAGTTTTAGGTGATGGAAATTGTCTTGGGCTGGACCCATTGCTAACGAAGAAAACACTTTCGTTGTTCTTTAATGATCCTCTTGCGGTTTTTTTCTGCGGCGATTTAACAACTATTATATTTTTAACAGGAGTTAAGGGTCTCTCCTGGGTCATATCAACAATATCACTCGGATAATCGTCTATGTCCTGAGTGTTGGCATTATTGATTTCATTTAAAATGTCTTGGGTGTTATCAGGTATAATATTACTTTCGTTTGCTTGTTGCTCTACATCCGATGCCTCCTTTGGTAAGTCCTCATGATTTACTTCATATTTTGAGTCGCTTGAATTTGATTTCTTTCCTTCTAGTTTATATAATGCATGATCAAGCGGACTGTTCAATTGAAAAGATTCATCTGGTATATCTGCTAGTTCTTTCAAGACGAAATTGCTAATTCCTGGTATGGCAACTGAATTATTAGATGAATGGTGGCTATTTTGGGTATTTTGTTCATTATATACCATTACAGAGTTTGTCTTCGATCTAGCTGCAACCGAAAAGAACGAACTATCCGATATATCCAGTTGTCTCACTTCTTTCCTGGTGCTTGGAACACGTCTATCAGCCGAGGTATTCGACGCATTATATTCGCCAAATGGTAATTCAGTCAAAGCACATAAGGTACTAAATCGAACACTTTTCCTTAATGATGAGGACCTTGAAAGATATGAGCTCATTGACATTGACTCCATGCTTATTCTAGAATCCAATGCAGGTCTTTGATCATTAATGCCAGCAACAGTACGAAGATCAGCATAGGCCGTCTTTTTCCTTAATTCCCCATTATCTAGTTCCTTATTTTTATAGCTAACTGATCCATTAGAAATTGAAAAAGCTGAATCATAACTAACGTAAGACTTAGCAGAGTTTCTGCTATCTTTCCGAAATATTGAACCAGATGAATTTTTTGATAATGTAGACATGCGTTTCCGGTTGCTATTATTCTTTGTCAAGTTAGCTTCATTAAAACTAATTCTTCTTACCGAATTCTTTTTCATCAGTTGAGGGCTTAAGGCAATCCCAAGATCTGCAACTTCAGCATTATATTGTGTTATGTTACTAGGTGTTGAAATTGAAGATTCAAATGACTTATTAGATTGATTGTTGAAAATGTATTGGGGGTCCGGTGGTAACTGAGAACCAAAACCAAACGACTGATCTTGAGTTATTGGAGATTTAGGTTCATCGCCAAAATCATCCACTGACCCAGTTGTCTTATTTTCTGAATATTCTAAATCAAGATCACCTTCATCATTCCAATTGATACTTGCTGGTCTCTGAAATGAAGACTGATTTGACGCGTCAAACGATCTTCCAAATATTTGGTCAACTGGAGTATGACTTCTTTGATTATAATCTTCTTTCTCATGTCGTTGTTCTCCATTATTTAGCTCATCTGTATTGATCAAATTATCGATTTTTTTGAGATTTAGCTCTGATAAATCATTAATGTCTATTGCCGATGAATCTTCGTTGTCCTCAATATTTTCAATCTTTCCTTGCACAGGACTACTGTGAGTTGTGCTTTTTACTCTAGCCTTCTTTGCTGGAGATGCCATTATATCAATTGATTCACTATCATAAAGATTTACTTTATTATCTTCAAGGTTATCATCAACAGTAACCTCGACAAATTCATCAATCGTATCCCTTTTATTATGATCATCAATCCCATCGATGTCCCTCTCAATTATAGTACATGGAGAATCATTGCCAACATAATACCGTATTAAATATTCCAATTCGTCCACAGCTCTGGCACATAGGATATCAACTCTATCCCCAATTTTTTCCTCATCATTTTCAGACATTACGTTCATTGCATCTTTAATTAAATTATTCATATCCTTACTACCCTGACTATTATCCTTTGTGTGTGTTTGATGGGGAGCGTTTGATGAACTATGGTTAAATGATTTTTTCCATCCATCAACAAACTTTTTCAATGATTTCTTCCTTCCAAAATCATTCGATGCATCATCTGTAGACTTCCCATCCTTAATATAATGGTTAGGTTTGTGGAATGGGTCATTCAAATTACTTTGCTTGATAACATAGTCCATTTTCTTCACCGGAGTAGGAGGTAAAATCGAACTCACTTTCGAAGAAGGAAGTTTTACATTACCATTTGTGGAAAACCCAATATTTTCCATTTTAATCGGAGAAGGCTTATAGTTTGGATTTATATTTTCTTTATTTTTAATAGGAGTTACCATGCCATCCTGTGTGTTTTCAGGAATCTGTTGCTTATTCTGTGAGGTTTTCTTTAATCCTAACGATGAATCTTGAAGGTTCATATGATTATGCTTTGTGTTTGATGATAGCGGCTTCCTTTCTACAGTTACGTCTTTCAACTTTTTTTCTTTGAGTTCCTGTAATTTCGTATTTACTGAAAGTCTGGATGACCGATGATGGAGCAACAAATTGTTTACAGAAAGTTGTGGGTTTTCATCGTTACCATTGGTACCGAAAACAAGACATTTATGCTGGATCTTTGGATCATATAATGATAGCATGGCAGATCTTCTATATGAAGCATTTGTATGGATAGACATTTCGGTATTACTTTTGGATAATTTCTTGACGTTTGAAATCTCGAATATCATAGGTAATCTATATTGTAAGACATCATCTGATATGATACCAAGGTCAATATCGACATTCCAAAACTCGTTGAGTAAAGAGATCCAGTGTATTTTTAGATCTTTTATCACTTTTTGTTCGAAAACCATATCATCCGCAATTAGGTTCGATTCATTTGTTATTTGATTCATGTTATAAGTGAATATATCACATAAGTGGTTATTAGAGTCAAAGTCGTCAACAAAGTAGTTTAACATCCAATGTCTCAACACTACGAAAGTTCTTAATAATACCAATTTACCGATTTTTACACTTGCTTCGTTATTCGAATTGATATACTGTAATGACCATATCAATCTTATCAATAACATATTCATCACC